GACAGACAGACAGACAGACAGACAGACAGACAGACAGACAGACAGACAGACAGACAGACAGACAGACAGACAGACAGACAGACAGACAGACAGACGCGACCGAAAACATTACCTGGCCCTTGGCGGAGGTAATAAACTCTCTGGTCTTTGTTTGTTAAAACATTATTATTTGAACTTTAGCTCTTCTTCGTCTCTCTTTGATAGACTCAAAATAATCTAAAGAAACATCAGATTCTTCTCTACAGTCTGTGTTGTAACGCTCTGTTTACATGCAGACATTCCCCTCTGACATCATTTCCTGTTTCTTCACATGCAAATATCTCAACCACCGTTCATCTCAGCGGCGTGAAATTTATTTTGCAACATGTTATCAGTGTTATCTTTCCAAAAATACATCCAAGTTTATTGCAAAATTTTTATGTCACAGTTACATTAATGTTAATAAGAAAGTAGTAAACAGCTAAGTAAAAATAAAAGTCTAGGAAAAAGTTAGTAAGCTAACGTCGCACAACAGCAACTAAAAGTAGCAAAATATTAGTTAAAAACTAAAAGTAGCAAAATATTAGTTAAAAACTAAAAGTAGCAAAATGAAAGCTGAAATCCACAAGTAGCAAAATTCCAGGTAAAACTTGTTGGACATTAGTTAGCGAAGAGAAGTACATGGCTATCTAAGAGTATTAAAACAGTTAAATGCTAAAAGCAGCAAAATCTTAGCTGAAAACTAAATAGGAAAAGTATAGCCAGCTAAAAGCTAAATGTAGCAAAAGGCCAACTAAAAGAAGCAAACTGCTAGTTAAAAGCCTAAAGTAGCTGAACAGCAACTAGTAACAAAAGTGTAGTTAAAAACTAAAAGTAGCTGAACGAAATCTGAAATTTATAAGAAGCAAAATGCTAACTAAAAGTAGTAAAACATTAGTTAGATGCTAAAAGCAGCCAAAGCATAGCTGAAAACTAAAAATAGCAAAAACATAGCTAGAATAAAATGTATCTAAAAGCTAAATGTAGCTAAATAAGCCTACTTTGAGTAGCAAAAGGCTAGCCAAAAGCCTAAAGTAGCAGAATGGCAACTAAAAGTAGCTGAACAGCAACTAAAAGTAGCAAAAGGATAGTTAAAAACTAAAAGTAGCTGAATGAAAGCTGAAATGTATAAATAGCAAAATGCTAACTAAAAGTATTAAAACATTAATTAAATGCTAAAAGCAGCCAAAGCATAGCTGAAAACTAAAAGTAGCAAAAGCATTTATGAGTGCAGAAAAAGGCTAGCTAAAAGCTAAATTTAGTAAAAAGTCAACTAAATGTAGCAAACTGCTAGTTAAAAGCCTAATGTAGCTGAACAGCAACTAGTAGCAAAATGGTAGTTAAAAACTAAAAGTAGCTGAATGATAGCTGAAATTTACAAGTAGCAAAAAGCTAACTAAAAGTAGTAAAACATTAGTTAAATGCTAAAAGCAGCCAAAGCATAGAGTAAAACTAAAAATAGCAAAAACATAGCTAGAATAAAATGTATCTAAAAACTAAATGTGGCTAAAAACATCAACTAAAAGTAGCAAAAGGCTAGCCAAAAGCCTAAAGTAGCTGAACAGCAACTAAAAGTAGCAAAAGTACAGTTAAAAACTAAAAGTAGCTGAATGAAAGCTGAAATCTATAAGTAGCAAAATGCTAACTAAAAGTAGTAAAACATTAGTTAAATGTTAAAGCAGCCAAAGCATAGCTGAAAACTAAAAGTAGCAAAAACTTAGAGGAGTACAGAAAAAGGCTAGCTAAAAGCAAAATTTAGCAAAAAGCTAGCTAAATGTAGCAAAAGGCTAGCGAAAAGTAATAAAGTCTAACTAAAAGCCTAAAAACAACTAATAGTAGCTAAATGATAGCTGAAATCCAAGAATAGCAAAATGCTAGGCTAGGTAAAAGCTGTAGAACATTAGTTTAAAAGCTAATACAAGCCAAAGGCTAGCTAAAAAATGAAAATGGCTTAAGAAGACAGAATTAGAGCAAGCAGAAGTAGAAGCTAAAGAAAACGTAGTTGGTTTTTTTGTTTGTTTTTAACGATGGAAAAGATCTTAATGCATTTTTATAGAGAAATCTTTATAAATGAAGTGGAATATTTTGAATATTATAAAAGTTATAACAATATTAAAGTCATTTCCTAAATAAGCCGATCTGCTTGATATCCAGAATAAAGAGGTAAACTATCACAGTGTTCATCTTTAATCAGGACCGAAAAAACTGTTTAAACAAGAGAAAAAGCAGGAAAAATAATGTGAATGCTGACTCAGCGTTCATATTATTCATGCTTAAATACAGTTAGAGATGGATGAGAGTCGTTTTTAGTATTTTACAAAATAAAACCATAAATAACCCACTTTAATGAATGACTAAAAAGATGTTTTTATATAAGTTCTTACAAACTAATTTCTGTTTAGGTTTTAAAAAGCGATAATGTTTGCTCAGGAGTTTGTTTCAGACGTGTGGGGTTCGTGCTCTCTGTGTTTCCCTGCAGGCGAACAGCGCCGTGGCTCTGCAGCAGCTCGCTCAGTGCATCAGAGAGCTGGGAGCCACCGTGGCCGAGCGCCAGGGGGCTCTGGCCTCGGCCCTGGAGGGGTCCAGGAGCAGGAGAGAGGAGACCCTGTCCGCTCAGGTCCAGGAGAAGCGGGCTCTGCTGGAGCAGGCGGGTCTGATGGCGTACACCCAGGAGCTGCTCAAAGAGGCCGACGCCCCCTGCTTCGTTCAGGCGGCCAGGCTCACACACAGCAGGTACGTCTTAAATCAACGACAGGGTTAACGAGAACAACGGAGGTGGAGTTTCATTTCCTGTTTCACTGTATGTTCATGTTGTTTGTCTGTTGGTAAAATATCTCCACTGGGCAGATGTTAATGAAACATTTTGAAAATAATAATTAGATAAAACTTTGATAAAGCTTTTTAATACTTTGATTCAGCCTGATTCAAGATGGCCGCCATAAATAATTAACCTCTGCAAACTATACCAAGAGCTAACAGGTTGTTTTTGTTCAAAACACTGGTGTTTACTGAAAGAGTCAACCTTGCCTGTCTGTTAGCAAAATATCTCCAGAACCCCTTGACAGATTTTAATAAAACTTTCAGAAAGTCATCATTAGATGAGCTTCTACAACTCATTAATTTTTGGAGTCAACCTCATTCAAGATGGCCACTGAAACTGACTAATCTTAGAAAACACAAAACTATCCAAAACGCAGCCATTGTTGCAGATATTGAGCTAACATCTGTGTTGATAGTAGCTGAGAGTTGTCCCTACAGATTATGAATAACTGCTGTTTAAAATGTTGTCATTCAAAGTTGTTATAAATAAAATCCTTTTCCTTTTCGACGCTGCTTGTCTCTGCAGGCTGGTTAAAGCTATAGACAACCTCCAGTGTTTCTCCTTCGCTGCTGAAACCTCCTTCAGACACTTTCACCTGGATGCGTCCAAAGAAATCAAGCTCATCAACGGCCTGCAGTTCATACAAGGTGGAGCTTGTTTGTCCTGTTTGATGCAACGTTACACAAACGATCAGCCTGATCTGGATCTGTTTCTTCTCTCCCTGCAGCTCCTCTGGCTCCGGTCGTGGACACTCAGAAAACCCTGGCTTACGACCAGCTGTTTCTGTGCTGGCGCCTGCCTCAGGACTCGGCTCCGGCCTGGCACTTCTCCGTGGAGTACCAGCGGCGGGCCGGAGGAGCCGGAGCGGCGTGGGGCGGCGCCGGCTCCCCCGGCTCCTCCACGCCGTGGCAGCGTCTGAACGAGGTGAAGGGGACCAGCGCGGTGATCGAGCGGCTGCAGATGGACAGCGTGTACGTCCTCAGGGTGAGGGGCTGCAACAAGGCGGGCTTCGGGGAGTACAGCGAGGAGATTTACCTCCACACTCCGCCTGCACCAGGTGAGACGCTGTCGGTTGTTTTACTGCGGTGCACACATCTGAGCGACTGTTGCTCCTTTCAAACACTCCTTACTCGGCCTGCAGCTAACCAACATTTTAGTAATCGATTAATCGAGTAATCAGATATAAAAATTTGTTATATTCTGCAGTAATTACATCAGCTTATTTTATGAGAAATATAATTATTTCATATTATGAAGGGGTAATCTACACCTGCTGATGACCCTGCTGCAGTCAAAGTAAAATGACACCAGTTGTATTAATTCGTACATTTGAAGCTCCACTTGTTTGTATTTATATATGTGAGGTTTGAGGAGGCATTAATTAAAAACAATCTGTCACTGAATCATTTTTAACATCACAGAAAAATCTAAATGCTGTAAATTTATTGTTCTGGATTAGAATACTGAAAGTCTTTTTTTTCTGGTTAGTAGTTGAATAAGTAAAATGGATAATATAAACATTTGGGTGTTGCAATTGTTAATTGTAACAAAAAATTCATGTATTTTTAAGGCTTTTATTAGGTTGGTGCAGGGTCCCATTTAAAGGTTTAGTCTTGGCTGCTTATTTATAAACAAATATGACAGGATAATGAAGGCTAAAGTTATAAACAGCAGAAAATAATTAAAGAAATCCAACTATCTTCTATAAATACTTTTAAACTTGAAATATTTACTCCAAGTATCTCATTTAAATTAAGATAAAAACATGTCAACAAATAAACATGTTTCAGCTCAAGCTGTCGATCTGTTGTTGTGTTTTTATTTTTATCTGACAAACTTACAGTAAGTCTTGTTTTTAATCACACAACTTGCACACTGTTTAATAAAAGCCTGCCAGGTCACCATGATTAGTCAGCACAAATAACGTTAGTTTAAATACACCTCCTCCTTGTACATCAGTAATCTGACAGATTATCACAGATTAAGGTAACAAAGTGAACGTAAACAAACACCTGTTGTTACCTCTGGATGTGTTCGCTACATGCAGCAGTGTTTGTGTTCTGGTGCAGAAACATCGCAGATGTGCAGTGATGTCATCTTTTCTGTTTAGTTTTAAATGTTCCCATGATTTTTATAATTTGTCATTTTCTGGGCACTTCGTTTCGGCACTCTTCGTATTCTTCTAAAGCTAAATAAAAGTATAGCACTTAGCAAGCATACACGCGTCGACAGTGTAACCATTAGCGGTAGCGCTAACATCGTAGCATTGTGTAACACAAATAACATTCCAGCCGGACGAAAGTGCGCTGATTATAACAGTGTGTATTTTTATGAAGATTCGAGGCAGATAAATTTGCCTCGAGGACTCTGAACTAGTTCCCACTGCTGTCATTTTTCATGTAATTGACTAATCTTGTTTTTTTCTCTTTATTTCCTCCATTCCCACTTTTTGTTTCTCAGTTTCTGCACAGACTTCTGTTTTAACTCTGCACTCCTGCGTCATCATCCCAGTCATATCATCTGTGCTTCTGTCTGTCGCTGCAGGTCTGTCTCTCTGCACCGTCACAAAATGTTTGAAGTTATTTCCAGGTTTTATTTAGCCTGATGGAAAATTGGGGAAACATTTGTCTTTTTTTGTCTATTTTTTTTACGTAAAATCACTTTTTTCAACATTTCCTTTAACCTATTTCTTATAAATTGCTTCATTATTTGCGACTTTGTTTTTATTATTAAGTGAATGCTGAGTCAGCGTTTACACTTTTTATTTCCTGTTTTAATGTTTTGGTACGCTGTTCGCAGTTTACTGACATCTGCATACTTTGTGTTTTTTAGCCATTCATGTATTCAAATGTTCAGCTCGTTCATATTGTAACTTTTATACTTTATTCAAATATAGAAATAAATTTACTTCCTTTTAAATATATTTTATTTATAAAATCTGCATTAGCTTGCAGTATTTTTGTCTTTTTAAGCTAGTTTTAGTTTTTAGCTAGGTTTTTGCTACTTATAGCCTTTAGCAAGATTTTTGTTTTTTTAGCTTTCAGCTGGCTTTTGGTGCATTTAAGATGGTTTGTTGTCGTTATTTCATTAAACTGTATGTCAAGACTTTATACAAGTTTTTAGCTTCTTTTGCTACGTTTAGCTAGTACTTTTAAGTTTTAGCATGTAGATAGTGCATACAACACTCATGACTTCAGATACACACACCACTAAACTTACTCCTCTGGCTAATAAATGTGCTCTATGCAGAGGTTTTTTAAAATAAACACCAGTGTGTCACATTTAGTGGATATAATATGATGTTTTGTTTTTTTCCCTCATCTATCCTTGTGTGGTTTTTAGTTTTTCTGTTAAGGGTAGCACCTCCTCATGATGTCTTCATGAAGATGATCCTTGCTCTGTGCAGGATCTGTGGCTGTATGACCCAGAGCACCTGTTCTCCCATGTTTGTTATGTTCTGTCTTCTGCTGAAAGGCTGGTCTGAACTGGAATTTCATTGTGTTCTGTACAATGACAATAAAAATCTATCTTATCTTATCTTATCTTATCTTATCTTATCTTATCTTATCTTATCTTATCTTATCTTATCTTATCTTATCTTATCTTATCTTATCTTATCTTATCTTATCTTATCTTATCTTATCTTATAATTAGTTGCTTACTTTTGCTACTTTAGCTTTTCTCTTTTTAGCCAGTGTTTTGCTTCTTTTAGCTTTAAACCAATCGTTTGCTGTTTTTAGCTAACACTTAGCAATCTTTGGTTATGCTACCTTTATCTTTTAGTTACTGTTTGCTTCTTTAGATTTTACCTAACATAATGCAGCTTTTAGCTAACATTTAGCTACTTTTTGCTTCCAGCTAGCTTGTTTTAACTAGACTTTTGTTGCATTTAGTTTTTAGCTAGCTTTGTGCTTCCTTTTAGCTTTTGTTCTGCTTCTTTTATTTTCAGGTTTTTCTGCAGATTTCAGCAGCACAGTTAACTGTATTTCTAGAGAAAACATAATTTCTCTCCATCATCACACCGTTCTTGTTTCCTTCTGTTTAAACTCTAGCAGTTAATTTCTTGTTCTTTCTGAATAATTTAGCTAACGTCTCGGCTTTTTTCTCCCGCTCGGCCTGTTTTCTGTCGGCACAGTTTTGAGTTTCTCCTTGGACTCTCGCTGGGGTCTGCACTCGGACCGTTTGGCGTTGGGCAGAGGTCAGACCTACGCCCGCAGCGTTCCCGGTCTGTCCCTCCTGCAGGCGGCGGACCGAGCGCTGACCTCGTGCCACCTGACCTCTGACCTGCTGGTGGCCGACCTGGCCGTCTCTCACGGCAGACACTACTGGGCGTGCTCCGTGGAGCCCGGCTCTTACTTGGTGAAGGTAAGAGACACGTTGAATTTGTGTGACTCGGTTGTTCTGATTTGTTGTCTTTAGTTTGTGTTTTTGTTCGTCTCGTTCACAGGTCGGGGTCGGGCAGGAGGCGAAGTTACAGGAGTGGTTCCATCTTCCTCAGGATGTGACCAGCCCTCGGTAACAAAACTAAACCGTACACTCAAAAATAATTGTCTTTAAAGTAACATCTGTTCAAAGCATTTTCATAAACAAATACACATAAGAAGCAGCTGTCATACTTATACTTGATGATTTATTTGTGATCATACTTCCTGTTTGGAGGATTACAAATGGAGAGGTTCTTGTTTTGTTGGAGCACGGTGTTGGCCACTACAGTGTGTCATCATTCACAAAAACTTGAGTCGTTTTTTTTTCTAAAAATGAAGTGAAATTATATGGAGGACTAGAGCTGCCATAACTGGAAATGCATGTAGAAATAATTAAACGGCTTGATAAATTAGTAATTAAGTAATAATGTGGCAATTATTGCATAAAAACATCAACAAAAAAGAGCGTAATTAATTTATTTGACTATACATTGCAATACAAATTAATATTATATCATTTTCAACCTTATTAATTTAACATTATCACAATTACTTCATTTTACTTTTTATTTCAATCATATATTTTTTTATTAATTTTACTTTTTGATTTCATTATTTATTTTGTCTATAATTTCCCTATTCTGTATTTATTTATTACATTTTTTATTTTACCATCACATTTTATAGTTATTTATTTTTATTTTATTTACTGTTACTTTTTTATCTTGCTTGCATTAATTTATTTATTTATTTATCTTACACTGATTTATTTTCTCCTATAATTTTTCCCGTCCAGTTTTATTCTTCGTTCTTTTATTAACAGCTCTGTTTTTAACACCTCCTCATTTACATTTCCTGCTCAGTCAGTCATGTAAATTGAAAAAAGGGAGGGAGGGGGAGTGGTGGGCGGGGCTTCAGAGTGAGCTGACGGGAGCAGCTAATGCTAACGTGACGGACCGCAGTTTGGTAATCTCCATTTGTATTTTCATAAGACCATTTCCTGTATGAAATTAAAAGCCTAGCATATGATCTGCCTTCTGTCGTGGCAGACTTTCAAAATAAGAGCATCTTATTTTTAGAAATGATGGAACATGTTAAACCTTGTGAATAACATTCTTTACATTTTAATCAAATTAATTTATAAATTGTATATTGATGTTAAGATAATACTGTATTATCAATAAACGATCAGTATATTAGAACTCACAGCTTTATTTGTTCTTCTTGTTGTCGTCTCGTCTCCGTCCCCCCAGCTGTGATCCAGACAGCGGTCATGACAGCGGGGCCGAGGACAGCCAGGACTCCCCTCCTTTCTGCTTCCTGACGGTGGGCACGGGGAAGATCCTCCTCCCCAAAGGACACGCCCTCACCCCGAGCCACAGCGACAGCCACAGCCAGCGGGGCGGGCCTCACCCCCCCACCGCGCCCCTCCCTCCCCGGCTGGGGGTGTGCCTGGACTGCGACAAGGGGCGGGTCACCTTCTACGACGCCCACTCCCTGCGGGTTCTGTGGGAGGGGCACGTGGACTGCTCCGCCCCCGTGTGTCCGGCCTTCTGCTTCATCGGCGGCGGAGCGCTGCAGCTGCAGGACCTCGTGGCCAATCGGATCGTCGAGGAGCCGCCGCCGCGGAGGGTAACCATCAAAACACGGGCGACAAACACGAGAAAATAAACTCTCAGAGGTCAAGAGAAAATCCTTTAGTTGGGTTTATTTACACGTGCTCCCGCTCTCTCTCCTTATCGTCACATTTCTCCTCTGGTTGTGGCTGAAGTGCTGGTAGACGATGCAGATTTCTGCTGACAGGGTCAGTCGAAGCTTTTACAGCAGCTTAGAGGTCCTTTAAGGAAGGAAACTACGGGATCAATCTTGTGTCAGCAGGAACTGAATCTGAATTACTCAGATTGAATCTGAATGCATTGGTTTGAAAATAAATTTCACTAAATTGAAACTGAATTTAAAGTTTTGTATCTGAATTAATTTGCTTTGAAACTGTATTTTGGTTTATTAAAAATTCAGTTTGACTACTTTCACTTTCAGTTCCATAATTCAGATTTTTGTGTCACATCCTGGTCCTTGAGAAAGCCAGGCAGAGTAATCAAACACAGATCCACAGATTTATGTTCCACTTTGGTGAAGCTTCCCTTCTCTTCTGTATGTAAATCAATGCAACATTTTCTACATACAGTATAGGTAAAATGAATCACTGCAATTAAATAACTGTCTGTTTTTGTCACTTTTACGGTGGATTGCATCAACTCTGTTACATACAGAAGGGAAACTTCACCAAAGTGAAATTTAAAATCTGTGG